CCCGTACTTCCTCACTCCCCTTCATATTTCTTCATACTTCTCCATACCCCTTCATATTTCTTCATACTTCTCCATACCCCTTCATATTTCTTCATACTTCTCCATACCCCTTCATATTTCTTCATACTCCCCCATACTTCCAAGTACTTTTTTTATACTTGCAAGTACTTGTCCATAGTTCTCGACATGCATATTCAATTTTATGAAATTTTAGGTATTTATTTTATTGATATAGATAAGAGATACTAGATTACTTTTGTCTTTGTGATATAGACTTTCATTCATAAAAAACTAAAAGAAACTAATAACGAAAAGTAAGATTCATAGTAGAAAGGAGGTAGGTGTGAGTTTAAAAAAGAACAACACTCAAACCCATATTCTAAATTGTAACAAAAGTTTTCATTACAAACATTGACAGGTAAAGTTGTTCAATAGTTACAAACAATGGGGAACTGTCATCGTCCAATGAAAAGTTCTTCACATTCATCAAAGACACTTGTTAGACGTAAAGTTCCAGAAAATCGTTCAGATTCATATCAGAAGTCGAATATAAATACAGAAGTTGAAATAAACCACGATGAACCATTGAAAATAACATTTGAAGATTTTATTGATCATATTCTACTTCTTCGCAAAGTGATCAATCACTCAGATATGACACAAGATAGGAAGTTATTAAATCAATATATTGATGAATATTGTCAAAAAATGGCTCGAGAAGAAATGGTAACTGACGATCAACGATCGCAGCTCTCATGGGAAATCCTGTGGATTTGGCACGTGCATCGTTTGCATCCATTGGCCTATTACAATGATTGTACTTCACAACTTCCAAACGGTCAACTTGTTGATCCAAAAGTTCAATATGTTCTTTCGGATGCATCAACACACCGACCTCATCCATCATTCATTCCATCAGTGAATCTGGTGGAAGCTGTCATTCGTCAACGTACTTTTCTTGAGAAATTCATGAAACATTATCTTTATACAAGTGATTTACAACAAATGAATCGCTCGTTCTTTCCAAATATGGTG